CCGATACGTGCGGCACCTGCGCGGGCGAAGAAACGTGCCGTCTCTCCTCCGATGCCCGTGTTGCCTCCTCCAGTCACGAGAATGGATTTGCCTTTCTGAGAGAGGTCTGGGAGGCTGGGGTTGCCGGCGGGTTGGGCTTTGTTGTGCCAGCGCTGGACTGGGGATGGGAAGGGTGGAGTGGAGGATACCATGATGATGTGGATGGGCTTTGGTGGAGGAGAAAGGATGGGTTGCTGCGTGACTTGCGACTGATACCACTTGGAGAGATGCGAATGTCTTGGATGTTCTTAGGAGAGGACGACCCATCATCCTTATAATGTTCTTGTACCCAGGTCGGGGAAAGAGACACGGCGGAGTTCACGAATCCCGACGTACAATTTGTTCCGCCCGACACTAGTGAAATCCGACCGCACTGATTCAGTTCGGATGGGGTGGCGCTTTTGCCGGTTGCTATGTCATGCATACTCGTACACAAATACTCATTAATATCTCACTGTTGGTATATCTCGCTAGAATCCATCAAGCCATATCGCTAAGCCATAGAGGCCGTGAGCATGATCAACCCGCCCATGCTGTCCATACCAGAACACCATTCGGCCCAGCAGGCGGCGCTACGATTAGCTCTACTCGTATGAATCTGAGATTTTATCTCGTCATTTGATGGAATATATGGCAACCACGCATCGCGGCAGGACAATCGACGCTGGTCCAACTTTAAAATCTCACCGTCGACAGCCAGCGCAAACGGTGTCTCTTCTCGCGGCTCGTTCTGCCGATGCCTTTGCCACTCTTCTGCATCCCTAGCATCCCAAAGTTGGCGTTTAGCGGGCAGAGGCGCAACTACGAATTCTGTAGGCATGTCGCACATGGCTGCTGGGTCGAAGAAGACGAGCTTGTTCAGGATGCGATAGATTACCGCGAGTCTATCATGGGTATTAGTGAGGGAATCTGGAACGGACGTCGGGATGATCAATGTACCTTCGCCTGGATTCTTTGTAAACCCAGTCTTGCCAGCTATTAGTCGAATTGCTGCGACATGGTACGTCATGCGTATGACAATCGAGATCGTCGCGAGAAAGTTGTATTGCGACGAGCTAGAACGAACGTCGTCAGACATGCCTTGAGCGTACCGATGTAGTGGACTCACAATGACTGCCCTCTCTAAAAGATAATCCAGATTATTGTGCTCAGTCTCGCCTTCATCAAGCCGGATCAAGATGTAGACCGAAAGAGCCTGCATAGCACCTAGTAGTTCCCATTTGTTTAGAGTTTGGTTCTGGTCACAGATGCGTTCACACTCGATTCTCACGTTCCGCCAGAAGAGCTTCCGGCTTCCCTTGACCCCGTTAGCCATCATGTGCATCAACGCGATGCAATTCTCAAGTGGTTCTGTTGTTGTCCCTTCTTGCGTGGACGACACATAGCCTGGGTGTATGAAAGCTGGCAGGTCATTTTGTTGCAGCATCAGCGGATAAGACTTTAACGTGTAGAAGATGAGACTGGCCGCTCTTTCTGCTCCCGGGTGCATCTTTGGCCGTTGTATCATTGATCTGACGTTCGAACTAGGGCCGGGTGAGATGGCAAAGCACAACGACTGTTGTCTTTGGGTTTGATGTTGCAGCTCCCGCTGACGAGTAAGTTCATTCTGTTCGTCGGAGATTGGGTCTGTTGAGTCCAGCAACAATGAAGGAGGCGTAATGATCATCGGGCTGGCTGACCCTGGTGAAGATGGTGTGTCTGAAGGGAAAGCCGACTGAGACGTAGGTATCATGTAGTCGTCAAAGGCCGTCATATCGTCGAGGCTCCACTGTAGGTCTTCAAACACGGGGTCATTGCTGGTCAATGTAGTAGCCAGATAACCTTGAAATTGATCGGCTAGAGTTGGCCCAATCGAGTTTGCATGACTGTCAAGGTGGTTAGGCAGGTCGTTGGAGGTAGCACGACGCACAGCATCACGCTTTTGCCTTGTAGATCTGGAAGGATAGTGACACATGAGACACCTTCTGGTACAGCGCGAACATTCTGGTAGTGCGTTATCGCACGCGGTCTTTGCCTTTGCGCAAGCCGCGCACGATCGCCGTCTCGGGACAGAGGCTCTCGTGTTGGACCGACAATAGTAACCATGACGTTTCAATGATGATTCTTCGAGAACGGTCAGTTCGATGATCGTTGTCGCAAACTTCGAGCAGCACGGCGAAGACACTGACGCTTGGTAAACGGCTTGTTGCACTGGCGGCACCAAAGCACACCCGCAGGTACCTGCTCCGCCATCCGGTGCTCGTCTGGAGGCGAATATGAGGGTTTGTGACACTCACGACGCTGCTTATCGGGACAAATTGAAGGCAAAAGAGTATTTAAGTGGCGTGAAAAAGAAGTTTGGTCGTAACAAGCAGGAGGTACCTGGATAGCTAGGTAGCCCGGAGGTCGACGTGAGTGGTGCTGACATATGCGGCAGGGACGTGCCCCACCTGCATCCTTCGGCCGGTACAAATTGTAAATCCCACTTGGATCAACATGACGCTAGCGCATCGAGAGGAAGTATTTCCGAACATAAGACTGTTTCGGGTCAGCACGCTTATTGTACTTCACGGGCTGATGTCCAGCCTTTGAATGGCTATCCACGTCGATTAACCCCGGGACCTCGGGAGTCTTGCACAGAGATGAAGTACACGAGTCTGTTTGGTAAGACACCAGGTAAACTGCTTTTCAATTGAACGAGTGTGTTTCTAACGACCGATCGCGGTAAATCCCTGTTCCACCTTCTTCCCCCTAGTCACAAAGTACCTAGGTACTTAGGTATCCCTTCATCCCCTCTAGCTACGGTAGTTAACCGTCACATGGCACTTATCGCAGTTACCAGTTCCATAGCTACCATGCGACTTTCCACAGTGAGCCAAGATATACTCGGCCTTGTCCTTGATAACCTGACCCCGCACTGCCTGCTGGCCAGAGCCGTTGGTTGCGTACTTGATGAAGCAGCTGCCCTGCGAGAACTCTTGCTGGTCGTTGTAGTACGCGTTTACATCGATTCTGGCGATGCCGACGTAGCATTCGCTTAGGTTGGGGGAGCGGCTGGAGCCGTCGCAGCTAGGGAGAGTGTTGGTATGGGTGAGGAAGATGGGGGGAGGAGGGGTTGATGTGAGGGGGAGTAGGGAATGGAAAGTGGCTTACTTGTCGGAGTAGGCGAGAGCAGTGCTGCTGAGAGCGAAAAGGGCGAGTGCGATTTTGGCGAACATGGTTGCGGAGTGGTTTTGAGTGTTTGTGTTGGTAATGGATGGAAAGTCGATGTGCTTGATGCCTCTAAATCGCTGTGCGGACGCAGTATTTATAGACAAAATGTGTGCGTCCAGAAAGATACGCACACGCCGCACCCTAGCTGACTATACCACTCTGTCCTTACTATTTTGGAAGTCAGGATACCGGTCAAGGTGCGTCGATGCTGATGTGCATGATGGCCTGAGGCATGCGTGTTTGGGATGAGGCCCCCCATACCTATGCTCGATGCACACGCTTCGGCTACAACTCCGATCTGGAGATCATGTTCCTAAAATGTCGATTAAGAGCCCCTAGGATCTAATTCCTCTCTTGGTGTGAAAAGGAACCAGCTTGTGAACCCTCACAAATCACGGGACTTCGCAGCGGACCTCGGGACGTTTTGATAGAAGCAGTCTGCCTTGCGAACCTGAACCGATATGCAGTAAATTCAGCTCTGCGTCTTGGAGTGCACGTGAGATTCCGTAGCACATTGCCAACGAGAGATGCAATCGGAACCTCCTCCGCTATTAGACGAAAGCGTAGAGACGTGTCGAGAGATCCGCCCACTTCGGGTAATCCGGGAAGCGCCGATCAGGAACGAACGCCTGATCCGGTCGATCGCATCACCTAGCAGCACGAAGGCGCATTAGTTCTGGTATCCTGGAGTTACAGTATGGTAATATGATGCAAGTAAGCAGGAAGCACATCGCCTCTCGTTGGCCAAGCTGGTAGTGGAAGGTGGTGAAGGTTTGCGGGCCGTAGTGTACATGCAGTACAGCCTTACGGACGTACGGCCCCGGCATTAGCTTGATGTATGTGTGCATTAGTATCCGTCCAAAACACGATAAGCTTCCGAAGGGTCCAAAAGCTTGTGGCGCTGATGGGCCAAGCAGGCTGACGGGGAAAAGTTGCTTTTACAGCAAGTTCATCGAAGAAGAGCATGGGACCGACTCGGACTGCGGCCCCGTTACCATCTATGCTGCTCATTGAAGCTTTGCGTCACATTGACGGTCGTACCGGTATCCAGACAGAGCCATCATAAGCCTTTCAAACAAGCTACGGAGAAGCATTGCCCAGGAACGGCTAAACGAGTAAACGAGGGGCGCGAGGTGATGTACACCAAGGCTATCGTGTAAAAAGGCGGAGAAACAGGCGCTAAGGCATGTGAGTGGATCGTGAGGCACGCTTTAGTACTGAATAGTTAGGTGTTTGTGACGAAGAGGCCGCAATGAGCTGTCATCCCGTAACTAGCTGGCAGGCTGCGGCGGCGCGGCGCGATACTGGCGTTGTAGACTAGAAAGCATTTCCATAATTAGCTAGTGAAAATGCAGAGTGTAGGAACATACAGCACGATTAGTGATAGAGAAGCCGTCCGTACCGAAGCCCCGATGCGCTCGTGCCTAGCCATAAGATAGGCCTTCCTCCGTACGATCTCAATTGGATTAGGAGTTTATGGACATTTCCTTTCATTCGTCTCTTTGTGCAGATCGGATTACATCAAAGGATTGTTCTTTCTCTCGTGTACCAACTATCGCATACTGATGGTGACGCATTAGACTCCGAATTGGAGTGCTGCATTGCTGTACGTAGGTCGACCCCTTGATGCGCAAATTTTGGTTGGCTGATCGAAGACCAAATGAAGCAAGTTATAATTGAATGAGTGTGTACATATCTAGGTAACGACTGACTGCTGTAAAGACTGTGTTTCAACTTCCATACCAAAAGGATAAGACGACGCTCTGCCTTCAAATCGACTTCCGATAGTTGACCGTGACGTGGCAACCATCACAGTTCTCCGTCCCGTAGCTCCCCTTGTGATGTCCGCAGTTAGCTACGATGGACGAAGCTACATCTTTGATTTTCTGACCGGACACAGGGTGTGCCACATTCCCATCATTCGTTGCGTACTTGATGTAGCAGCTTTTGTGGGAGAATTCTTGGTTGTAGCTGTAGGTTGCGCTTGCGTCGATGTTGCCGATGCCAACGTAGCACTCGGCGACCTCGGGCGAGTTGGTAGATCCTTGACAGCTGAGAAGGTTAGTGCCTGCGATTGACCGTGATGGGAGAGGAGCGAAGTTATAGTTCGGAGATGTAGTAAAGAAAGTGTGTGTGACTTACTTGTTCTTGTAGGCCATAGCTCCGCTGCTGACAGCGAGCAGGGCAATCGGGAATTTGACGAGCATGGTTGTGTAAAGATTCCTTCGGCGAAAGTCCTGATTGATGGGTGTTGTGTGGTTGTAGATTGTCCGTTTGGGTTTGACCTGTTTGATGGCTTTCAACATGCTGTGCGGGCACAATACTTATAGACACAAGAGTGATAGAAGTAAGACATGCATACCCCTCAGTCCAACGGAAATCCTGGTGTCTGTGCTATTTTGGGGCGAAGGCACCGGTGACGTTCCACCCATAGTTGCGTGTATGATGGGTTGAGGCTTGCATTCGGGGCGAAGAGCCTTGCTATTCTTAGTGGAGACACTTCAGGATCAAGTTACGATGATTTGGCGATCATGTAACTGAAAGCTACGTCCAAGGGCCCCCCAGACGATTGGGTTGTTCCTCATCACGGAGATATGACCTCACCAGGCGTGATAGTACGACGTGACTTGTAGCTGAATTGTTGATAAGGGTAGTCTGATCTCTACACTTGAGAGGTACGTCTACTAGCCCCAGCCATATGTTTACGAGACATAAAAAAGATAGTCAGACAACACTGAGAAGGGTCACAACAAGAAAGCCCCGCGAATTTAGCCTGAGACGTGGAAATGTGGTGAGGAAGACGTAGAACTCGAAATAGCGCCGTATATGCAGTACAGAGTGCTACCCGCAAACGGCCATCTGAATCTGCCGATCAATACCTATGACCACATAAATTAGCAGTCCATTCAATGTGGTGTACTGCGGGCCAGTACATTACGGAAGTATGGCGTAAGCAACCTGTACGTACATCAGCCTCATTGCGGGTTCACCATCCTGGAACTAGCTTGATCTGCGTATATTGCCATTGGTGACAAGACAATCACAGCCTCGATCGGGTCAGCTTGGGGTAGAGTACAAAAGCGCCACACAACCTGATGCGGCTCTGCAAGTTGCTCCTACATGGGGCTGACCCGTAATGCCTTGCTACACCGACATTGTAGGACCTCGGAAATGTTAATATAGAAGCTGTAAGCAAGCCAGGAACAAGCCTTAACCAGACGCGGCTGCATAGCGGCACAAGGCTGCGAATGCCAAGTCCGTCTTTCCTCTAGCGGCCACCAGAGTACTTGGATGTGTAGATACAAGGCGGAGTTGTAAAACACCAGATGCGTTTGATCGGTCGATCGAACGGGACGCCTTAGCATATGTAGTTAGATGTTGTTGGTCCACGGGTAGTGATGGGCTAACAGGTGGCGGCGGCGCGGCACGACGCGACATTGTAGTTGGGTCAGACTGAGGATAGCGTCCCGCTTGAACGCGTTTCGAATGGGGTTGGCTATGTCATGGGTATCTCATTTAATTCGTCTCTTCGTGCTGCTGGAGCCATACTGATCACCTGGGTACTGTCCTCTCAGCCTTCCAGCGCCTTTGTCCGTCCATTCCTCTTTCTCCAACTCTGCACACCTCTGTCAATCTCATCTCTTGTCACACCGTCTTTTATAAGCTGCATAGTCACTCCCAGTACTTCCACATTCTTGTTCCTACTCTCATCGTCGAAGAAAAGCATCTCCTCATATTCAATCCCGCTATCCCTATGTATCCTCTGGAAATGCGTCGTCTTGCTGCCGGGGTATATCTGCATGTGATCGAAGTAGTCTATCGCACGTGAGGACGATCCGTTTGCGCTGGGTATCTTGAGGAGCTTGAGCATTTCGCGGCCGAGATCGGGGGCGCACGTGCGCGAAGCAGCGGCGATGAGGATGTTCTTGTGTTTGAGCTGTCGTTACGTCAGCTTCGTCATGGAGTCGATGGAAATCGAGTCATCTCACTGCTTCTAATACGCCGCCAACATCGTTGTAGAAGCCGAAGCCCTCGCCATATTTGTCCTTGACCTTCAGGCCGCCTTCGACAGGCTTCAGCGGAGGCGTGACGTGCGTGTCAACCCAGAAGGGCCATAGTGTGTAGTCGAGATCGAAGACGACAATTTTAGGCAGCGGTAGTCCATCCGTGAATGTTGATGGCCATTGGACCTTTTCTGGGAGTGTTGTGGTGGTGGTCGTATCGGTGGATGCCGACGAGGTCGCGCTGCGGCGGGGCATCGTGGCCTTCGGTATGGGTGGGAAGGGCGCTTTGAGGAACAAGGCCAAGACGACTGCAGATACGACAGCTGTAAGGAAGCGTGGAAAGGCCAGAATGGAGTTGCGCAGGGTGAATGTGAAAGCTGTTGCACGTGGCGCGCGTGGCAGAAAAAAAAGGCGATGACGTAGACGCGTAGGACTGCCCGATTGGGCGAAGGCACGTGAGAACTCCACGTGAGAACCCCGTGGCACCCGTGGACGCAACAACGTTAAACACACCTCACTACGAAATACCACGATCGATCGTTCACTCGAAAAAGCAAAACCCCTCAAGGTGGCATCGGCGAGTTCGCTTGTACTACCATAGTCCCTGTTGTACCAATTGGCCGTCGTGAAATTTATGTGTTGACCTGTATCACACATCAGCCCCCATTGGCATCACTGCCATCATTTAGATGTTCATAATTGCTGAGTGCAGTTCCCGACGTACCCATACATAGCACATGCACAACATAAGGAAGATGATGGTCTCGACCACTAGCGCAAGCATCCGTGAACTGCCGATGAACTCATCGCCTGGCCTGACCAGGACCATCCTGAACCTTGTCCGGCGCACCTGCAACCTTAATCCAGCTCTAGCTATTTTGATACTATTGCCAAGTGTATCAGGTCTCTTCGGGGCTAAGCGCGCGATGCGCTCGACAACAAGAGGTACCTCGGTACCCGGAACCAGCGCTTTACGGACGCTCAGCACCCTTATCGCGCAAGTCCAGAACTAGATATGCAGCGCGATGGATGCAAAACACCGAAACATGCAACTGTGCGATGACGATTGGGATGATGGCCGTCTTGCATGTGTTAAAATGGGTTGCGCTGCACACCTTCCGTTCTAGTCGTCCAGCCACTGCCAGCCCCGCAAATAACGGGCAGCGGAAGGATTCCCGCCTGACTTCTGCCTGCGTCAACCTCTACACAGCTTTCTCGAGCAATGTCGCCGTGATCCGACCACCAACGGGCTTCAATGGCGGCGACCTGTGCTCGTCGTACAATTCTTCACCGCGACCAGGAACAGCACCAGCTCGTCACCACCCCACGACCCGCAATTGCGCAGCCTCCGCTTCTGCGAATCAAGGCGCGCCCCATTGAAATCCAGCGCAACAACGGGTGACACCACGCCAATCACTCGCCACAATGGCCGACTTCCATGAGACAAGATCGCCCCTGACAAACGAAAATGTCCAAGCATGGGCGCGTGCGAATTTTGCCGCGCCCTTTCGCGCCCTGCCACGCGCCGCAAGACTGCATTGGATCCAGTTCGACGAGAGCTTCACCATCAGCAGAGCCATCTGGCGCGGGCTCGGCCGCTCCACCCACAAGCAATTGCTTGTCATCGGCGGATATGCGCCAGGCCCCGCCGGCGACGACGATGAACCCATAGATCGGGTCACCGCGCACGTCCACGAAGATGAGGCCGAGGTCAGCTTTTATCGCATTACCGAGTTGGAGGACGGCGCACACGAGTTGCAAGCTGTGAATAGTACCAGTACTGTTGCTTTCCATGCGCCTTTTTGTGATGTTGGAGACGATACCGGCGGCTCCAAAGCCATCCATCGTGTGTCGGCCCTCATTCTCTACTATTTCTTGGCTGCTGGCCACGTGAAGGAGTTATGTCGGACGAGATCAGATCCTACCATGTTTACCAGGAATTTCCGAGACGCGTGTTTGTGGGTGCAGAACGAGGGGGAAAGACCATTGCTGCCGCCGTCTAGGAAATCGGAACCCAGTACGCCCATTGAAAAGGATTCGATCGCTGTTCGGCCAAAGCGATCATCTACCGTCTGTATGTCAATTTTGATTGTCATTTGGTCGATAATTTACTGACTAGAGGCAGCGTCATTATCAAGGTCCATACCGGAAGACATCCAGGTCCAGCCGCCATCCATCAAACGCGCAGCAACAGATAACTTGAGCGTCAAGATCAAACGCGAACGCGATGAAGACTACCCCAGCATCGCATCGGCTATCCGTCCCAAGAAACACCGTCGCACCGTCAGCGAGCAAATCGTGCCACCCTCAAATCTCAAAGACTCAACTTCCGTCCCATCACCATTATCTATCCTCAGCCCACGCAGTCCAGCACCAGAGCGTGTGAACCGCGCATTAACAGATCGAATCCAACACCTCAAAGACGAAAACGCCGGTCTCAAAGCCTCAAACACCAGCCTAGAGACCGAAAAAACCGACCTCCAGAAGCGTATGGAGAAGGAATCCCACGCCTACCGCGGACTGCAAATCGAATCCGACGCGCTAAAGAAAGAGTCTGAGAACATGAGAAAAGAGATGATGGCCATGAAAGAGCGGTTAGAATCCGTCGAAACATCAGGCGAAAAGCTGCGGGTGGAAGTAGACCGGTTAACAGCTGTGGAAGAAGCAAGCAAAGAACTACGCAAGGAACTAAGAAATGAAGTGGAAAAACTAAGAGGACGGGTCGAGAGAAGCGAGAAAGAGGCTGAGAATGCGAAAGAAGAGCTGCTGGCTGTGAGGCGTGGGTTAACGAAAGAGCTGGGCGAGGCGGTCAAGAAGTGGGGTGCGTAAGCGACGGGACGTGTTGGGGAATAGCGTTGGCTGTTGATTACTTTTTGTTCTTTTGTCAGATGATTTTGGCGGCAGAGGCGGCTTGTGGAGGGATGTTGTACATGATGTGCAAGGATGGGGTTTTTAGGGCATTTTCTTTTGGTTTGATGAAGAAGCGGCATCCTCGGCGTATTACTCGGCGTCTCTATTTCTCCTTCGATAGGGTTGGGGGCAGCTCGCAATTTCAATGGGATAGCACTGCAGCGGTGTTTTCCGGGCTTGTTATTGGAAAGGTCATGTGTTTGATGGTCTTTGTTGATGCTGACATATCTGAAAAGCTTACTTGAGATTATCGATGATGTCTGCTACTTCTGCTGTTACAACGGGAGTGGAAAGGTCCGAGAATGTATACTCCATCGACGCATCGTATCCTCACGCCCTGATACGCTACGCCTTTTTCCAGAAATCGGTTATCCTAGTCTGGTTCTTACCCTTGGTCTCAAGCTTGACCTCGACCTGATCCTCAACCTTTTCCTCATCTTCTTCGTCATTCTCTTCATCATCCTCGTCATCGTCGCCATCTTCTTCATGGTTCTTCGTCATCTTCGTCATCTTCGTCACTGTAACCCTCATCCTCATCCTCAGTTTCTGACTCAGACTCTTCCCACATCTCCTCCTCGACCTCGATTACAACGTCTTCCTTAACTTCCTCCTGAACATCTTCGTCAATCTCCTGCTCAGTCTCTACCTCAGCAGCTTCCTCGGCCGTTCCATCCCCTCCTGCCTTCTCAGCTTTTGGCCTCGCCCTCCACAGCGCCATCCCAATACCTTTACTCTCCACATCTTCCGCCTCTTTCAGCTGTCCCATGAAACCATAGTACTCAGTATACTCCTCACTCGCCAGGACCCAGCGCTTGGGATGTCGAATGCCCATCTCGCCGATCAGCCCGTCCGCAGCGGCTACTTCATACTTGTGTGGCCACATATTTTCATACTTGAGCTCGCGGAGCTGATCTTTTCTACGCATTTGCTCCGCGTGTTGGGCGGTATAGGTGTGCATCTTACCAACAAGTTTCTTCGGCGTGGGCTTCCCGCTAGGCAGGAAATTCCAAGCGAAGCAAACCTGCTTGGTCTGGATACGTTGGCCCGTTCTAATGTAGTCGCGAGCAGCTTGTTTCCCGATATATTTCCTCATTCCCCTATCGTTTAGTCGCTCGTGCTGCACTCGCGCAAAACGGAAGAGCTCTGCGGTCTTGTACCACTTCCGCTTTGGCGTGGAGTCATATTCATCATACTTGTTGAAAAAGCGATCGGGTGCTTCGTGCTCTTCTTCACAGATGGCGTCCCAGTCTAGAGAGTTTTGGAACATGAGCCAGTCGTGCCCGCAGTTTTCGCCCATGGTGTCCAGGCTATCTCGGAGCATGCCGACGACGCTGCGATACTTTTCGATATGGGTGCTCGTAAGGTCGTTGACATCCTTGGACGCATCGGTGATCAATAAGGTGACCTTTTCGAACGGATGGAAGAGGAGTGCGCGCCATTCGGAGATTTCGTCTCTCCAACCTGTACCGGCGTGCAGCTTGAGATCCTCTGATGCTTCCTCACGACGCCAATTATCCTTCTCCGCCTCGGGAATCATCGCAATCTCAGCGAGAGCCTCGTTGAAGAAGCTGATATCCAACGTGAGCGTGACTGTACGCAGTGCCTGCCACCCCTGGTGAAGAGGAATACTTCCATGTAAGCTGATGGGATGCCCACACTCTTGCTCAAAGTCGTTGGTGAATTCGTCGAAGAACATCTTTAGGTGTCGAGCCGCTGCTTCGGATAGTTCCTCCGTCATGTTAGCGACCAAAAGTTATCAGTTCCTTATTCGGAAACAACTCACCAGGTTAGCCTGTTTACAAGCCAGCACCATACCACGACAATCATCTTCCTTCTGCCAGCGCTTCTTATACGGTAGAGGCGGGAGCCACTCATAAAGGAAGTCGTAGATACTCATGCGGACGTCGCGGTTCAATAGGGTGAAGAACATGGCGTCTTGGACTACCGGACAGGGTACCACCATTCCAGGGCCCTGCATGGTCTTTCGTGATAGAGAAGGATTGCTGGTGGCTGGCGAGGGCGCGTGCTCTGTCATAGTGACTTGTTTGCTGCAAGATTGTGGTTGAGCGGTTTCAAACAAGGTGCAACAAGCGTTGAGTGATTCTAGAAGTGTGACGGGCATTATGTAGAGGTAGGAGGCGTGGAAGGGGCGCGTCAGTGCGCTTTGAGACCGCTGCACGGGCGAAGATCCGGTGCCTGGAGGATTTTCGGTGCCTTCCAAGGTTGATCGATCAGGTTGAGGAACCGACTACCAGTGAAAGGGAAGATTCAAACTGCACTATTTCAGTAATCATCGCGGTGTCTGTATGATAGGGATTATAGATGAGTACATCGTATTCTCACTGACTACATTGAACATCAAAACCATCGGTCTTCTCCTCATCCAACCCATCAAGGAAACTCAAAAGTAACCCGTTTCCCATTCCCCTTCTTCCCCTTCTTCCCCTCTCCCTTCTCTCCATCTTCCCCCACCCCCACCACCCTCCCAACCCCCTCCATCTCCCTCCCCCCCAACCCAAACGCCCCAACCCACCTCTCCGCAACCGCAACCGCATTCCCCCACCTAACCCTCTTCCACCCCCCTTTCCTAAACTCATCCAAAAGAATATGGCCTAGAACATGTATATCCCTCCTCGCCCTCGTCAACGCCTCCGTCGTCGTCCGCCCACTCATCCTAACCCCATTTCCGGGTGGCCCCTCCAAGCTCGGCATCATACACAGTGCAGCGTGCAACCTCGCTTTGTGCCGCATGAAAATGTTCTGCTGACTCAGATCGTGGGGAGGGGAAGGGGGATGCATGTACCCCGCTGCCAGACCGAAGATGCCCCAGCCGAAGGACTCTTGTGGCAAATCTCCTATTGATAATATCTCTTCGAGAACGACGATGGAACTGTCCCAGAGGAGGGTGAAGAAGTCGAGGTCGTCTTTTGTGTGGCTGGGGGGCTGCGCGCTGTAGGTGCTGTCTTGGGCTGCGGCTAGGGAGAGGGCGAGGGATTTGAGGGATGGGGAGGAGGGGTAAGCGGGTCTGGGTGGCTTGAGAGAGCGGGTGAGGACTGATGTGGCGGGAAGGGTGGTGTAGGGGCCGTGGTGGGTGATTAGGGCTTTGGCGTGGGAGAGGAGGTGGATGAAGCGGGTGATGTTTGTCATGCGGATGGCAGAGGCAAGAATTTCTTTGTTGGGTGGTAAGGCGGGTAGCTCGCCATTGGTTGTTGGAATGAGGTTGCGAGACTGGCTGGGGGAGTCCGTTGGTGGTGCGGGGGTTTCAGCCATACTGATTACAGTATGGCTACCTGGTGTTGATGCGCTGCTGCTAGCAAAGTACTGGACTACAGCTGGACAGACACTGTTGAGACTCTGATGGTACCGTGAGTGAGACTGAGAGATCAGGAGCGGCGGGTGGAGATAGAATTGTGGGTGACGTGAATGACAGCCAGCGTTGGTGAATGTGTTTCACGCAGGTGACGCCACGCTCCAAAATGCTCCCACGCTTTGATCCTTCTGACGACTGATCTAGTGACGTTGGAACGCGTGTCCGTCGGAGCGTCGCGACCTGATGAATCGATAAGACATAGCTTTCATGACACTCCGTATCGCGGGGTGTCTTTGACCGCTTGAAGTGAGAATGTGGCCCGTTTGCTCAACTGAGATGATTGGGATGGCGGTGGGACATACGGTACTTATTGCGAGAGTTCACTCGGGCACTCGAAATACAGGGCTCAAAAAACTCCCGCGAGTGAAACTATGTCTCAAGCTATCGCGCAGTTGAAGTCTTGGAGGCTTCTCAGGAAGCCTTTCAGGGCCTTCATATTGTTGCTGGACCGTGACAGTGTGTATAATCTGACCATCCGGGGTTTCCGGGACATCATCGTCCGTAACGACAATTTTCGGCGGGGACAGGTTCTCTTCCAAATCTATGTCGTGAGGTCCGTGGATCTGTATAGTAGTCATATTGCCAGGTATCGTAGGCACCAGATCGGAAGGGCTCAAGCTACGGCGATATCCGCGCCGATTTTTTCGTAAGCGACCACCTTGTTCTGAAGGATAGTAGTTGCGGCCGCGTTCTTCACGAGGTGCGTCAGCCAGACCCATCTTCCATAGACAGTGACGAACGAGCGGGCGCAGTGTCGCGATGCTTCCTGCGGTAATGCCGATTCCAGGTTCAATAGTGCTCCACAAGGCGACGTCGGTGGTAGCATATAAGAAGTCGGGGCCTTGGACGAGTGTGTGAATGTATGCCATACGGATGGCTGTTCCGGTGCTTCCAATTGCTGCGAATGCAAGGATACCCGCAACAAGTAGCTTTGTCTTAGTTCTCATCTCCAAGCCCCAAACGATGAAGAAAGGAAGCAAACCGAATGCCCAATCAGCCATTGCGTTGATGGCGGCGAGGGCATAAGTAATCCCCAGAGTTGGGCCGTTGTGTATGCATCTGTCTGAGGCTGGGTGCACGTTCCAAAAGTCCGAAACTGGATCCATTAGCGAATTTGACAACGAGCGCTTGATTGATGCTTACTAGGAATGCATTGAAGCAAGACTAGAAAGAAGTAGACAAGACCGCATAGTACAGTGCCTAGCATGAGTATCCGGATGGCCCAGATATGCCAGCGCTCGATTGCGACCCGCAGGTAAAAGTAGCCGATGGCAAACTTGAGCAGACAGTTCGCTATCACGTAGAACAGCTCGCACAGGTACCAGAACTGTATCTAGTCAGATGTCGGATGATGTGATAAGAGTGTTAAACTGACCAAGAGTGCTGTCTTCGCATCGCTATCGCTCAACTCCCATCGATGGCGACCAGTTCCGTGCATCGCGGCAATGATCTGACATGGAAGATACACGGTAAACGTCAACTACAAGCTTCATCAGTATAATTTCCGATTGAATGCGAGACATGACCACTTACTAGTGTCGCAACCATATACGAGTCATCTTTTCCCCATGTCTTCATCAATACCGCGCGTACGTAGATCCGTAGGAGAACAGTCGTCCATGTGAGCACGAAGAACAGTGCAGCCACGGCGAACACTTCGGGACTGCGGTCGTCTTTGCTCATGTCGGAGATGCTTTCCGGCTATTGAGGCTTCGTTGATTTTCCGTTAAAGCGATGCGATCTCTCATAGCTACCCACAGTCGTTCATCCGAATAATTGCTGGCCGTATCCTACGCGATGGGAAACATTCATCGACAAACAACAAGATGCCGAGGAAGGCTCCAATATTAGCAGACCCTGGAGCATAGGGACCGTTGATAGTCGTGCCAGGCGCGATAGTCTCCGAAACTGGCCAGAAGCCCTGCCGCGCAAGACCACTGGAAGCCAACGACCCACTATTGAAGATCGCGTTCTTAACCGAGTCATGAATGATGTGCCGGACGGTCTATTCGTTGCGAAAGAGCGGTAACTTCGATGGCAGCCTCTTAGGCTGCATACCTCAGCTGCCAACCTCAACACGGAGGCATCTCCTCAGGACAAGCCACACGGTTAATCTCATGCAAGTAACTTTTGACATGTTCGGTCGAGACGTGAACTGCCGGAAGCCTAGGTGGTAGATCTGCAGATACACTTTGTGCACACATCATCGGTACCGACCGGAGGGCCAACCGTTGAGATGCGGAGGGAGACTCCTAGCGGCGGCTTTCAGGCTGGGAAGAAACATGATACACGGCATACGCTGCCACAGCCAAGGCACAGATCCGAATCCGAAAGCCGTGATGGCCCAAGGCGGGTTGAAGCAGTCTAATGTTTTGGAGTTGTGGTTAGGCGCGCCTGGGCAGGACGGCGATTGCCGTGCCGCGGTAGATCGGCACAGGGATACCCGTTGAGCGAAAGGGTTAACCTGGCCTGGCCACATGGCAGTGCGGTACGCCATCTTCAAGGCTTTTCAATTTTGTAATCTACTCGTCATTGTCATCGTGATCTTCACATTGGCAACGCGACTTCGACGTTTTGAGGAGCGAAGAGCGAGTGGTTCGGCATCGCAAGCGCAGACATCGCAGTTCCCCATCCCGCCAGCCGTTACGCCATGTCTTAGGGCCGATTGCGTGCTGTCCAAGCCAAGAGGACAGACCCCTATCATCGACACTGCGATTGTTCACACTCTCATCACAGCTTGCCAACGCTGGCGGAGCCTGTCGCTTATTCGCAGCACGGATTGCGACTGATCACGGTATCACAAACTTCCAGGACGCGTTACTCACATCCTACCTGGGGAGGGCTCATGTCTCCTCCCTGATTCGTAACAATGGCTTGCCAGCCAGGTAAGCAAGGTTGCAGATGCCGGCAAACTGCTTGCGTCGGGTAGAGACATCGAATTGCTGTCTTGAGCACAGTCGCACACCCGTGAATATAATGGAACACAACCGTTCGGATCTCAGCATCTCATATTTCCTTCCAAGCCGTATCTCAATCATCTCTCTTTGTATAGTCACTGTATCAAGGGAGTCTATCACCGCATTCTGTATCCAGACATTTTCTTGCTGTTCGGACGTCGTCGATATGGCCACCCAAGCTTATAGTACTTGCGCCCTTCCTGAAGGTCTTCGCTACTATCTTCTTCGCGGCAGCGTAATGGTCCCGCTGGTACCAGTAGACCAGCTTCCATTTCAACTACAAGGAATCCCACGCCAGTTGACTCATCGCCAGATCTCAGACGGAGCCTGGAAGCTTTGCTCAGAGACCGAGGAGATCCCTTCGACTCTCCTGATCCAAGCGCCTACATCCAGCAGCTTCTCGCCTCGCTCCACTACAACGACGCAGTCACGATACCTGGCACCAGACCATCATGTACGTGCGGAGCCGCAAACATTGCCCGTGAGCGGCACTCGCTCTCCTCGACTATCTCATACCCTCCCAGCGATCGTAAATACGGCAGAGCCACCTCGTCCAACCCCCACCGCTACTACCGACCGCCCCTCCTCACTCACCGACACCTTCGCCTCCATCTACCAAAAAGATGCACAACGTCTCGGATACCGCGTGCCCCACCCCTCTGGCATCGAGCCCGACCCATCCAAGAAAGAGTACTGCACCCACTGGATCAAGACCGGCGAATGCGACTGGACAGCCATCGGATGCAAGTTCAAGCACGAAATGCCCGGCATCGAGAAGCTGCGTGAACTAGGTTTCGTACGAGGTATACCGAAGTGGTGGAGAGAGAAGTCGGCGATCGGGCCCAGGCCGCCTACTTGGATGCAGCGAAGACTCGCGGCGAACGAGGACGCGGATCAGGATGGCGCGATGTTGGAGGCAAGAGTGTTTCCTGATCCTTCGACGTTTCGGACGAGGAGGAGTGAGGAGCGTGATCTGCTGGGGGATGAGGTGCAGCAGCCGCGTGGTATCTTCAAGAGGAACGAGTCTCCTGGGCAGACTACATCAGGACGATTGACGCCTCCGCCATTGCCAGTTCAGGAATCTGTTCGCCGTGCTAGCCAAGTATCAGATCTGCTCATCGATCTCGACGATAATCCTGCTCCTCCACCCAGCTCTGAGTCATCTCGCGCTTCGGAAGCCAGTTCTGGGTCCAGTGAGATGCAGATCCCGTCCAGTCGCCCTTCTGCCTCGCCACTATCATCTCCAAGCCTTGAGTGCAAGCCCTCGTCACCGATCGAGAGCAAGACGCCATACAAACCCGTTGTGAACAAGAAGCAAAACGAGAACTCGACCACCCGGCGCCACTCCCAACTCTCATGGGCCTCTGATACTGAAGACGACACCCCCATCCCTACCTCCACCAAGCCCGCTAATCTCACAACCAAACCCCCTCGCCCAACCCAACAGCGACGCAAACCCGCTCCTCGCGAGAACAACAGACGTCCCGCGACGAAGTCCACTTCCACGATCCCGACTCCGACCAAGCAATCCGGTCTCGCAGCCTCCAAATACGCCACTAATGATCACGCCGTAAACAACAGCACAAGCCACGCCAAGAACGCTACCCGTAAGATACGCGGGCCGCATCATGGTAAACATGTGGAAGATGTCGGCGTACCAGAGCGCTTACACGCGGAGATTGAGCAGTTGAGGAGGGAGGTGCATCAGAAAGAGAAAGAGAGGGTGAAGAAAGGTGGGGGTGCTGTGATGGCGGCACCTACAGCTGCTGGTAGACGGACAGCTGTGTGAGTAGTGAGTGGGAGAGAGGAAGAGGTGTGCGGCGGTGCTGTGTGACAATGTTCGGCATGAGGTGGCATGCCGTTGATAAATTGTACCAATCCCGAAAAAACTGGGGGTTTAGTTGTAGTATAGCTATATCGGACGGGTCTGTTGTATGAAAATATCTGTTTTTCCCACTTTCTTTGATATAGACTTGGGTGATCTTATTCTTTACACGAATTTAGGTTTATGATAAGGTCATGTGTTGACGATAGTTCTCGTTTCGAGGGGATCTGATTGGATGGGTACGTATGCAGTTCTACGACAACGTTTGTCTGGTGTGGCGTTAAGTGCATCATTCGAGACTTCACGTGCGTTTATCGCCGAAACGGGTCCGACTGAACCACCCTTGAGTAGTTCGTTGGTGCGATTAACTGTCGGCCACACCTGGACCGATAACCAAACCAGCAATTCTGGTTCCACAGGAATAATCGCGTATGCCACGGTCGCTCATACCCTCCTTCAACGCATTCTACTGCCCAGCACCTAACCATCCACACCTCTCTATTCCTCCCTCCTCACCCCTTCCTCTCCCCATCCCTACACCTCTTCACCCCCGCCCTCGCATTCGACAGCCCCTCCGCAAACCCCATCTTCTTCGCCAAACTTGCCGCTTCCTCATACTTCCTCTTCGCCTCCCCAATCTTGCCTTCCATCTCCAAGAACTCGCCGAGATTATGCGTCGCGACAGCACAGCCCATGTCGCATTCTTCGTTCCTTTCAGAACCCTTGATCTGGGCGGAGAGGGCGAGGGCCCGTTCTGCCCATTGCCGTGCTTGGTCTATGGCGAGGGAGCGCGGCGCGGAGTTTGTAACGGGGAAGGAGGTGGGGGCGGGGGACATGGTTATTGCGTTGGAGGAGGAAGTGGGCGGGGTTTGTTGCGCGAGGCAGGTGGATATGTTGTTCACTGGGGGGTGTTAGTGGAGGTGGGTAGGAGGGGAGGGATATGGGGACGTACTTAGGACGACGCTGTGGCAGGAGGTGGGTGGGCAGAGTTGGAGGGCTTTGACGAAGAGGGGGGCGGCGAGGTAGTGCGAGTCGAACTGTTCGTAGTGTGTTCCGAGAGCTGGTTGTGTTAGCATGGCATACGCGGTATCCAATTGTTCTTGCTGCCTACCTTCGAGTACACCACCCATCTCGTCGTTGGTGAGCCAGGGCCCCTCGCCGTTCTTGACACCCTCCTTCTCCCGCCGTTGTTGTTCCTTTAATGCGCTCTCAACAGCCTCGACCAGTCTCTTCTCTCCGTTCTCAGGCTCGTTCACATATCTCACGTCGTAGAGCTGGCCCAGCTTCAGATTGATCTGCACCATGTTCTTCTTCACCCTGCTCCTATTCCCATTCGTCCAGTGTCTATCCGAGAACTCGTCGACCCATTTCTGGCAATCATTGCGCATGATTTCCAGCACATCGATAGCCAAACTGTAGTATCCCGCATCCTCAAACAGGGCGGCGATGGTGTATTTGACGCCCATGATCTCGTCGCTAAAGGGATCCATGCCCATCTCGTCGGCGAGGGCGAGCGCCTGGCGGAAGTGTTTGTTGGCTTCGCGGATGTCGAGCCATTGGCCGCGGCTGTAGAAGAGGGCTCTGCGCAGCTTCTTTGCGACGGGTTCGGGAAAGTTGTGGTAGGGCTTGATGATGACGTTCTTGTAGTACCACGGTATGTACAAGACGCAGATGCCGGCGACGAGGGCAATGGAGCCAATCGCAAAGGGGAACAGCACGGGGCTCTTGTGGTATTGCTCCCGGAACTGCTCCCGCATCGTCGAGCCATAGCGCCGCCCCGGGTGCTGCTGTGCTGGCCGCCATGGCTTAGCGGGCAGCTGTGTGCATCGTGTCAGCGCGGTTTGCGCTTCGCAGCGTGCGATTGCGCTCGTTCGGGGCACGGCGCGGGGGGCCGTCCTGCTCAGCATGGCAAAAAGATGTGGGCGATGGCATCTGGAGTTGGTGGAGCGAGTGCATGACGGAACGAACTTTTAGTGCCCGTCGCGTGCGTTCCGCGTAGGGCTGAGTTCGTCATGACGTAGCCAATCACCAACGCGCCGCATCGCGTTGCTGTAGACCTCACAACAATGCACTGAACCTCTTTAAATATGTGTGGAAGGTATGCGCTGGCCTTGGTGAGTAGTTACAGTCACGTGAAATACAATGCGACAACTGACGGAGACACCAGAGGCCTTCGGAGGTCCGCCAGCAGCTCGAGCAGTCGCACATGCCAGTCGAAGAGGCACCCGACGACGACAGCAACGTGCGCCAGAGCTACAACTTCGCACCCGGCTATCATGGGCTTGTATACCGGGCAGACGGTCCCGAGACTGGAGGCCAGGAGGAAGGTGCGACGGAAGACACCAAGTACAAACTGCAGTCTATGCAATGGGGTAGGCTCGCATACTTACGACCTCGTACGTCACTGACAGCATGCGACAGGTCTCGTACCCTTCTGGACGAAGCGCAACCCCGACTACGGATCCAAGATGAAGACGATCAACTGCCGAGACGACTCGCTCTTCGAAGACCGCGGCATGTGGACGACCATGAAGAAGAAGAAGCGCTGCATCATCGTAGCACAGGGCTTCTATGAGTGGCTGAAGAAGAACGGGGGCAAGGAGAAGCTACCACACTTTACCAAGCGCAAGGACGGCAAGCTCATGTGCTTCGCTGGGCTATGGGACTGTGTGCAGTTCGAGGACTCGAGCGAGAAGCTCTACACCTACACCGTCATCACTACCGACTCCAACAAGCAGCTCAGCTTCCTACACGACCGCATGCCCGTCATCTTCGATAACGGCTCAGATGCCATCCGTACCTGGCTCGACCCGACGCGCACAGAGTGGAGCACAGAACTGCAGTCGCTGTTGAAACCATACGAGGGCGAGTTGGAGTGCTACCCGGTTAGCAAAGACGTAGGCAAAGTTGGCAACAACTCGCCGTCTTTTCTCGTGCCAATCAACAGCGCAGCCAACAAGAACAACATTGCTAATTTCTTCGGTAACCAACGAAAAGCTGCCGAGACCAAAGCGGAAGAGCAATCTGTCGGCAAAGCACAGCATGATCTGGACGCCTCGTCAGACAAGAAAGGTCAGATAAAAGTCGAGCACGACGCTGATGAGACGCGTGACACAACCGACCGCGTGGAGGGTACCGAAGATAACGCGCCATTGCCCATCCCAGCGACGTCGCCAAAAGGCATCAAACGAGAGCACGACGACGCGACTGATGGTACCACAGAGTCTGAGCCACAGCACAAGCGCAACAAACCCACCGTGTCTGTCTCGCCCGCCAAAAGCCCTGCGAAGAAGTCAACACCCGCGAAGAAGCAAGGGACCAGAAGCGCCACCAGTAACGGCAGTGCAGCAAAGACATCCAAGGCGGATGGTTCGCGGAAGATCACATCTTTTTTCGGCAACAAGTGAGCGCAAGTTTCCGAACACCATCCAGAGCATCAGGCGGTTTGGCGGTGAAGAATGAGGTCCGTTTAGGCTTGCTGCCTTGTGCGCTATACCGTCCGACCTATAGTCCGGGGGCAAACAGCAGCGCAGATACACGTGTGCGCGGAGATGCGGTCGTGGAGATGTACATGGTGGAGGATATGAGAGGAAAGCCCTTGCGGAGTGAGCATGTCCGCGGTCGCAGATGGGCGCAGACATAGAAGTACCGTCTTTGCCCCGCGCTAGTAGTGGCGGGGATGGGCGCGAGGGGCCATCTAGCGGCCGTCGAAACCTCCAAAACACCACCAATCCTGCCTGTTGGAGCTCTCGACGCTCTGCGCAACCCATCCGGAGCGCGTTCCTCCAATGCTTATCCCTGCATGGCCCGAAGATGCGGCGACTTGACTCAATCTACTAAACGCCCTCTTGGCTTTATCCTGCTTGCATCTCGTGATCAAATATCCGCTGTCGTCCGAACTAAACACCAGTACCCTAACCATTGCCTTCCGCTCGCTTTCGTACTTTCGTATCCAGAAAGCCCTTGTCTTTGGCAATCTCCCGCTCACTAGCATTAATGCCAAGACTTGTCGCTTCCGCGTTCAACCCTAGCCGTTCGCGTTCCTGACACGATGAACTCCAACATGGCGTCGTTGATGGACCTTGTGTCCCAAAACCAGCCCAAATTCCAAACACACCAAGCCCTTGTTCTTGTTGGACTCCAAAACGACTTTGTGACATCAGAAGGACGGCTGCCGGTTGACACCCAGACGGGCTTTCTGGAGCGCATCCAGACTTTGATTCCGAAATTCAGGGAGCTCAGCGGCAATGTCATTTGGGTCCAGACGCTGTACGAAGCCGATCGCATCGCGACCGGTGCCGACACGGGTGCAGGAGACACGCTTGTGGTAGAAGGGCTGCTCGACGGCGAGGAAAACAACAATGAAGCTGAGGAAGAGTTAGCCAAGGAAGCAGCGTCACTCCCAGCGCCATCCAGATCCTCAAAACACAAGGAACGCGCGCTAGCCCTGCTGAAACGCGTGTCTGCACGACGAAAGACGCTGCCAAAGGAAGTCGCAAAAGCCAAGGCCGAAGAAGACGAAGAGCTGTTCCTGTTGAAGAGCGAGAAGAGAACGCCAGCATGCGTGCCTGACACGCGTGGCGCTGAATTTGCAGATGCTATCGCGAAGCAGATCGAGCTACCTGCAGACGTTGTGATACAAACGACCAACTACTCCGCCTTCCAGGGCACCGACATGCTCATAACACTGCGCGCAAGACTCATCACCGAACTCTTCATCTGCGGATGCATTACTAATGTTTCTGTGCTGGCGACTGTTATCGATGCAGCAAGGCATGGTGTCAAGATTCATGTTATAGAAGACTGCTTGGGCTTCCGCAGGGAAAATCGACATGAATTGGCGCTGAAGCGCATGGAAGATTTCTTCAGCACGTATTTGGTCAATAGTGAGGAGATACTCAAGGAGGATACGACGATCATTGCGACAAAGACTGCAGCGCCTACGGATACGAAGAGCGAGCAGA